CTTTATTTTGCTGAGTTTAGATCAAAAATAAAAGAATTAGGGCACATTTTCGAAAAATGTCAAAAATCATTAACTGCAATCCTAGCTCGAAGCTCCCTTCAAAATCAATATGTTCGAATTCAAACAACATATTTTTGATTATTTTGTCGAGAGCTTCAAAATGAGTATAAACACGTCTAGGCTCCGCCCACTTTGAGATTTTCGGTTTGAAGGCGCATGGACCCCCAGAAAAATCAAAATCTGAGAAAAGTACGTCATGATTATACTCATTTTGAAGCTCTTTGAGAGCTAAATAAGAATCTGAATTTAATTTTAAAGAATTTTGATTCTTTATTGAGATAAAATGATAAAAAAGTGTTAAAAATCCGAAAAAACAACGCCAAAACTAAAAAAAAGCTACAAAACGAGAAGAGCTTAAGAAGAAAAAAAGAAACTTGAATAATTCATGAGGGAGGTTTGGTCAAAACGAAAAATAAAGCAAAAAAAGTGAGGCGGTGTGTGTTTTTTTTCGAAAAAAAAGGAAGATAGGAAAGAAAAAAAAACTACTCAAGAGAGAAATTTTTGGGAGGAGAAAACCAAAAAAACTGGGATGAAGAGAGAAGAAATTGTGTCTAAGAAATTGGATTTTTTCCACTTTGGAGGAGTGGAAAAGTGTTTTTATTTATTTATTGGTTGAGTGGCTGGAAGGAAAAATAGGTTTTTCTATTCTGAAAATGTGTCCTAACTTTCTTATTTTCGGTCCAAACTCCGCCAGAATAATTTTGCTGCACGTATTTTGTCAAGAGCTTCAAAATGAATATAATCATGACCTACTTTTCGCAAATTCGATTTTCCCGGGGGTCCATGCGCCTTTAAACCGAAAATCTCAAAGTGGGCGGAGTCTAGGCATGTTTATACTCATTTTGAAGGTCTTGACCAGAAAAATGATAATGTGTAGTTGAATTACAAAAATATTAATTTTTCAGAGAGTTATGAGCTAAAACCGTAGTTGTTGATAATTGAAAATTTTCGAAAATAGGTCCTGATTTCCTGATTTTCAGCGAAAAATGTAAATTTCAATGTTTTTTGTACGTAACTTGTCAAGAGCTTCAGAATGAGTGTAATCATGACTATTGAATTCGATTTTTCGAGGGGCCATGCGCCTTTAAGCCGAAAATCTCAAAGTGGGCGGAGCCTAGGCGTGTTTATACCAGGCCTGTGCGGCAACAAATTGCCGATTGCCGAAATTGCCGAATTTTTGTTGCCGATTCGCCGTTGCCGAAATCGGCAACGAATAAAAAGTTGCCGAATTGCCGTTGCCGATTTTGACAAAAAAATTTCGGCAATTTCGGCAACTGAAATTTTTTTGAATTTAGAGATTTTCACAATATTTTTAGTGTTAATTAGGATAATTAGCGGTAATCAGTTGGATGAGGTAATTAAATTAATTTTGTTCGATTTAGCGTGTTGAGAGCTTCAAAATGAGCCCAAACATGATCAGTTTTAGGCTATTTTGATATTTTCGAAATTTCAAAGTTGTTGAAAATATTAGCTTTCCTCATAACTCTCTGGAAAATTAACAATTTCAAAAATAAGTGTTACATTCTTAATTTTTTCGGCAATTCGGCAACTCGGCAAATAATGTCACTCTGCGTACAGCTGTCGTCCTCGCCTTTATGTATGCAATCGGGCGTCCGCTTTCTCTTTGCCCGCGTGGCTCAGTCGGTAGCGGCGCCGCACCCTCAATCATCGTCCTCACAAGTTCAACTCCTCGAGGGGCATATTTAAACGAAATATCGAGAACATTATTTTTTTTTCATGTCTCCCCACCTTTAAGGAACTTATTAAACACATTTTCTGTAGTTCTGAGCCTGATAGAAGCATTTTCAGGTGAGTTACGTATCCTTTTTACTAAAAAAAGACGCAAAACTTTTGTTGCCGAAAATTGCCGAAAATTGCCGAAATTGCCGAAAAAATTTTGTTGCCGCACAGGCCTGGTTTATACTCATTTTGAAGCGCAAAACAAGACAAATAAGAATGTAACACTTATTTTTGAAATTGTTAATTTCCCAGAGAGTTATGAGGAAAGCTAATATTTTCAACAACTTTGAAATTTCGAAAATATCAAAATAGCCTAAAACTGATCATGTTTGGGCTCATTTTGAAGCTCTCAACACGCTAAATCGAACAAAATTAATTTTAATTACCTCATCCAACTAATTACCGCTAATTAACCCAACACTCACCTCTTCTTCTTCCATTCTTATTAGCGCGACGGTCTCCATTTTTTTTTGGAATTTCGAAATTTTTCTTGAATAAATAAATTCAATAAAAAAATAATAGAATTTTTTTCTGATTTTTTTCAGAAAACGAAAGAATACAATTTTCAGGAGAACAGAAAAATTGAGGTGTGTGTGTGTGTGTGTGCTGGCCGGCAATTTTTTTGATTTTTCCGAAAAAAAGAGAAATAGAGAAAAAGAAAAAAAATTATGTGAGGGAGTTTGGGTTGCTGAAAAAAAGAAGTGATAACACTGTCTTTTTCTCTGCGTCTCTCACTTTTTACACTCTCTCACTCTCCCTCTTACTTATCTTTCATGATAGGCCAGGTGAAAATGAGGGAATTCTGAAATTTCAGAAAAAAAATTTTTTTTGAAGAATCGAGGGAGAGGTGAGTAGAGCTAATTGGAGCCTAATTAGGGGTAATTAGGAGAGTTCAACTTACAAAAACTAGTTTTTTCTTGAATTTGGCATGTTGTGAGCTTGAAAATGAGCCCAAACATGACCAGGTTTGAAAAATAACGAAAATCAGATTTTTGAGTTTTTCTCAACTTTTTGAAATTGTTTTCCAAATATTTGTTTTTCTCATAAGTCTCTTAAAAATTAATAACATTGAATTCAAATCGCGAATTCTTATTCAACTTTTTAAGATCTTCAAAAAGAGTATAAACACGCCTAGGCTCCGCCCACTTAGAAATTTTCGGTTTAAAGGCGCATGGACCCCGAGCATGATGAAATTCGAGAAAAGTAGGTTATGAGTATATTAATTCAAACCTCTTGACAAAATACGTACAAAAAACGTGATTTTCCTAAGTTTGAGCAAAAATTAGCAAAATAGTACACAATCATCAAATAACATTTTAGCTCATAACTCCCTCAAAAATCAATTTTATTAAATTCAGGTTGCATATTCTTATTCAGCTTGTCATGAGCTTCAAAATGAGTATAAACACGCCTAGGCTCCGCCCACTTTGAAATTTTCGGTTTAAAGGCGCATGGACCCCTCGAAAAATCGAATTTGAGGAAAGTAGGTCATGATTATACTCATTTTGAAGCTCTCAACAAAATACGTGCAAAAATATTAATTTCAGTTTTTTTAGGATGAAAATAAGAAAGTTAGGGCACAAAAATGTTTTTCAGAAATTCAAAAATTAAAAAAAAAATTAATAGGATTTTCAAGGTTTTTAGGAATTTTGAGTTTTTCTGAAGTTTTTTTGAAACTTCCAAATTTTATTTTCCTCATAACTCTCTGAAAAATCGATATTTTCAAAATCCAATTACATATCCTTATTTAGCTTGTCGGGAGCTTCAAAGTGACTATAAACACCTAATCAGTAACTTGAAATTTGTTTTTCATTTTTCAAAAAAAAAAAACTAAGCAAATTTGAAAATTCCAAACAATTTTCAGTCACTGAAATTCTTCTAAAAATTCTAGAAATTTCTAGAATTTTGAGAAGAAAAAGGAGTTAATGTCATATTTATCAGCACAGGTGACAATTGAGCAGGCTGGAATTCCATCCAAAAAACATTGCAGATTGAGAGACCCAGAGAAACCAAAAATTTTATTTTTCCTCATTTTCTTTCTTTTTCGCTGTTAAGAATAACAATTAGGCGTTCCCCAGAGAGCTGCTGGGATTAATCGCGAACAGCTTTGTAGTTCTTGCAGTTTGTAGTCAATCTCAAATATTTCGAAGGAATGGAAATGTACAGGTTAAGGGCTTTCTAATGATACCTCACATCCCTAGGAAACTTTTGGCGGGAAATTTAAAAAATTCAAAAAACCAAAAAAGTTGTCTTTTTTTTTAACTTTTTCTGTTTTTCTCTCCCTCATAACTCTCTTCAAATTCAATATTTTTGAAATCCAACTATATATTCTGAATTGGGTTGTTTTGACCTTTGAAATGAGTATAAACACGATTATGCTCCGCCCAATCTGAGATTTTCGGTTTAAAGGGGCATGGACCCCCGGAAAAATCAAAATCCAGAAAAATAGGTCATGATTATACTCATTTTGAAGCTCTTGACAAAATACGTACAAAACAAGTTATTTTTGTCAGCTTGAAACAAAAATAAGAAAGTTATGAATCCGTTAAATTTGTCGGTTTAGTTGCAGTAATGAATCCATTCTCTGGGGGCCTTCATCCTGAAATTATGCACAATTTGGCAGCCAAAACAGATGGATATTGCTCATTTTCTACAAGTGAGAGATGTGAAACTTTAGTTTGGTATTATTTTCAAAACACGATTTTCAGACGTTCTACACAAACGGATTTTTCTGAAATATATGTATCTGTGTACGGTTAGCATGCGGTTGCGATTTCTACTCCGCTCGAATTGTGGAGCATCCATCTTGGATTGTCCGCGAATTATCTGAGGAGTCCTCCACTGAAATATAATAAATCATTTGCAGAGGCGGAAAGATCGAGAATCAATTGAAATTGGACTACAGCTATTTGACAGAGGACACTATTCTCATCAGAATTAATTTTGAAACGTAAGAGATCAAAAATAGTTTTAGTCTGTAATGTAATTTCACATTGTTTTCAGACCCACTGACCATTGGTTGCCATATCAAGATTAAATGTATTTCAAAGTTTGAATAAATGTTTATTGCATGCATTTTCTTTCTTGGATTTTGCCAAGGATTTCTGGATATTCATAATCAGTGTCCATTTTTATTCCGGACCGCTATAAGCATATAGAGCCAAATTGTTGAGTGAACACCTTTGCTCGTACTTTGATCATTACAGATTTAGTTCCTTGCAAGAATAATTGATGATCGAAAAGTGATATTCTCTTATTTTTTCCACAATTTTCGAAATTTCGATTCCATTTGGACTTCGTTTCATCAATATTAAAGCCACGGATTCACAGATGTTTGAACGATTGGTGTTAATAAATCTCTGGAAGAATTTTCTGTTTGAGCTGTTTCAGGAACGCGTCGATGGCGCGCCAGCTAAATTGAACTATCCCTTACCTCCAACATATCCAATACATCACTTTCTGTTTCCGAACTATCAAACCTTTGAGATGGATCCACTTGGGTTTTATTCAGATAAGAATAAGCAGCGCTGAAAATTCAAATTTTTCTTTAAACCTAGTTTCTAAAATTACTTGTAACTATCAACCACCGTTTCGCCTTCATGGATCACAATATCTTCTTTTGTTTTCGTATCAAATCGAACTGTGGCAGCTACCGTATATTTGATCTTATAGGAGACGCCGGAGCCATATTCACTGTATAGCATAGCCACATCACTGTAATCCAAATCATTTGAATAGGCGAACAGAAATGTTGCCGGGTCTGTTGGTGAGCATTTTTCGATTTCTGAAGTACTGAAATTCGAGAATATCCCTGCACTTTCACTAACTTTTTAGAACACATACTCCCTTTAACTCCTTATACTATATTTAGGTATTTCGTAACACATTTTTTTTGAGATTGACCTGTATACAACATTTAAAATGTGTTTTTTGCATGCAGTAAACATTTATTGAAGTTTTGAGTTACATTTAATCCTGGAATGGCAACCAATCATCGATAGGCGTATTAGATCTCAATCTAAATAGAATAGTGTCTTCCATCGAGTAACTGTATTCCAGATTCATAGCATGCGTAGACGCTTCCGCAAAGGGTAAGAAGCGGACAGTGCGGAAAGAGTTCAAATTCTGAAAGTATGCTCTATCATTCAGCAACTATTTTTCCATGAAACTTACAGATTCGTACCCATCCATTGCTCCTGACCTCAAATGTTGTTCCCTGTTTCTACTAAAAGAATTTGAAAACCCATTAGTATTAACATAACGGATTGTGAAGTTTTGGAATGAAGTGGTAGTAGCTGAAGATTATTAGGAGTTTTGACATTTTGCGAATCAAATTCCTGTACTCTGAACGGCCAGGTATAATTCAAGCGACATAGTCTGTGGAAGCGTTATTGAAGGCAAAACCATTGTTCCTGTTCCAGAAACTTTAATATTCAAAGAGTAGTGTGTGAAAGGGTTGTTCATACCAGGTAGTGTGTACAGTACTGGCCAAAAAGGTATTCGCAAATAGTTTTTCGAGCATAACTTTTCTGAAACTTCCCGATCAATCTGATATTTTAAGACAAAGTTTAAAACGGTAAAAGAAACTGATTCAACAACAAGAATAGTCAAAATTTCAAAAAATTGAAAAAAAATCGAAAAATTCATGAAAATTGCAAAAAACCGGTAAATGGAACTTTGACTTCTGAGATCTAGGATAGACCGGTAAACGAAAAATAATAATAGAAAATGAATAAAATAGCTTTAGTACTTCGTTGGGAAGCCTTTGGCGTCGATTACCGTTTGACATCTTCTTGGCATCGAGTCGAGAAGGGTGTCGATGACAGACATCGGGATGGCCTGCCAGACATCTTGGAGTTGGTCGAACTTCTGGTTGGCATTCGAGGCACGAACCCCTCTAAGCTGTCTCTCGACATGCTCCCAGAGGTGTTCGATCGGATTCAAGTCCGGAGATTGACTTGGCCAGTCCAGAAGATCCACGTGGCGGCGTCGGAACCACTCCTTGATGTGCTTCGAGGTGTGCTTCGGGTCGTTATCCTGTTGGAAAACGAACGCCCGGCCCACAGTAGACCTTGCCCAGGGTCTCATTGTGTTCTCCAAGATGTCTTCATACACAAAGCGATCCATGATGCTTGTAATTCTTCTCAGCGGGCCGATTGAAGTCCCAGAGAAGCAGCCCCAGACCATCACCGATCCACCTCCATGCTTGACGGTTTGGAGCTGGTAGCTGGGATCGAACCGACATCCAACCGGACGGCGAATCCACTTGATACCGTCAGTACCGAACAGATTGAACTTGGATTCGTCGCTGAACACGTGATTAGCCCAATCCTGACGTCCCCAGTGGAGATGAGCTCTGGCCCATGCTACGCGGGCGATTCTGTTCTTCTTGCTGATCGATGGTTTCTTAGCTGGCCGTCGTCCATGGAGTCCAGCATCTTGAAGACGTCTTCTGACGGTTCTCAGGGATGGTGTGACTTCATTTGGTGTCTTCACGACCATCTGAATGTCCGTAGAACTCCTCTGGGGATCCTCTCTTGAAACTCGGACGATGTTCCGATCCATGTTCTTCGACGTGATACGCGGTCTTCCAGGCGATTTTCGCTCCACCAAGGCTCCCTAAACATTTTTTTCCATAACTATACTATTTTTGAATATTACCTCATCCCGAAACTGCTTCAAGATCTTCTCGATGGCACGTTTAGTAACATTGAACTGCTGCGCCAAGAGGTCCTTGGAACATCCACTTCTGAAGCCGATGACGATGGCTTTACGGATGTCCTGAGAGATGTTTTTTTCCGAGGGGTCTGGCCATGTCTGTAAACAGTTTTAAATACATAGGAGCCAAAACCAACATTCTTAGAAACCATAATATCCAAAAATATAAAAATATGAAAAAAGTGAAAAAACGAAAAAATTGAAAAAATTGAAAAAAACAAAAAAATTCTGAAAATGATGCAATTTCCTTGTACGCAATTTGTCGTCACCGTGTACGACATGCACAGTAAAATTTTCAGATCGATCCCTTAAGTTTCAGCAAAGTTACTCTCAAAAAACCGTTTGCGAATACCTTTTTGGCCAGTACTGTACATGGCCTGGAATGCTACCGATTAGGAAAGGAAAATAGAATATATCAAATCAGACGAAAATGAGACCCATATCAAATCAGACGAAAATGAGCAAAATCCAGATGAGATGAAATAATTTAAAATAAGATATCGCTGACCTCTATTATTTCAGGCGCAAATGAGCAATATCCATTTGTTTTGGCGGCCAAGTTGTACATAGTTTCAGGATGAAGGCCTCCAGAGGATGGATGCTCGATGGCAATGTTCAATTCAATGCGCCATTGTCTAATTTTTCTCACTATTTTTGAAATTTCAACTTCATTTGGGCTTCGTTTCATCATAATGAAAGCACGAGACGCGCATACTGAGTAGTGATCGCTATCGATAAATCTCTGGAATCAGTATTTCTTAGTAAATAAAAAATAGTTCTCAAAATATCCCTTACTTCCAACATATCCAATACATCACTTCCTGTTTCCGAACTATCAAATCTTTGCGATGGATCCATTCTTGTTTTATTCATATAATCAGAAGCAGCCCTGAAAAAAAGTGTTATTTTTAAAATCCTAGTTTTTCCAATTACCGATAACTATCACCTAGTGTATTGTTTTCAAAAAACATAATTTCTTCTTTTGTTTTTGTATCAAATCGAGATGTTGCCACTATCACATACTTTTCCCAATAAAAAACGGGTCCGTAGATAAACCGTGAGTACACTTCTTCTACATCACTGTAATCCAAATCGTTTGAATAGGCAAATAGAAATGCAGCTGGCGACTCTGGATAGCATTTGTTCTCGGTTCCTTAAAACTCTCATTTTTAACATTCTTGCTTTCTCACTAACCTTTCAAAGCACAGACTGCCTTCAACACCGTATACTGCTCTATACCATTTCCGACGTCCAATTGCCATTTCTGTTGAGATGGATCACAGGATCCATCCAGAGTATAGTCACCAATCTGAAAATCCAGACATTCATTTTCAAATTCCAAAGCTTCCTAACCTTTGCTCCTTTATCCGTGTCAAAGATATACAACTCTGATCCACCACCACAATAAACATGCACTGCGCAATCATCAATCAATATTTCTGGAGCTTTCATTGTAGTTGCAAGGACCATATCATAAAGGGCATTATCTTTGACTTCGTTTTCGAGCATGTTTGATCTATCGATTTTTAGAGTTTTACAAGCGCAAGTGGCTGCTAAAGAACATCCGTTTACAGTAAGAAACAGAGCGGGAAGCAATAGAAGCTTCATTTTGTGGTGAAATGAATCTCGGAGTCCCCTTATATAGGGAATGATTAGTATGCGAATCTGTTGGAATGATAATGAATGCAAATTAGTTGATTATCATTCGGATTTCCGTTCTTTCCGTCTCTGCAAATGAAGAGGATCCATTGGGAATAGGTCCAATGACTGGATGTAGACTTGAAACTCGGGATCCCCTGCACAGGAAGTAAATCACCTAGAGCTCCAAGATTAAATTTACTTCAATTTCTCAAATAAATTTTTACTTCATTCAAAAATATCTTAATTGTTTTTTTTTGTGTCAAACTCGAGAAGAATTTTACGAAATACAGAATAACCGTATACACAGTGTTCGTTTTTCTACCTTTTAATAAGCGGCTTTAATTAGAACGCAGCCAATTCGATGGCTGAGGATCAAACGTGTCTGCGTCTCTTCACCGAAATACAATCTCTCGTTTTAGGGGAGAATGTTTTCTTTTTTGAGAATTTGAAAAAGCTTTGCCCCGCCCCCTTGTCAATGGAGCGAGTTTGCAAAGGTGAAAAACAAACCCTGTGCGTATAGAATAAGTTTCAAAAAATCAGTTTTTTTTCAGAAATTTCAATCTTTCCAAAAATTGACCTTTTTCTAGACTTGTGTTCTTCTTTTTTCTGAAATGTAGGTTTTTGGAATTCCAGAACTTCAAGATTTTGAATTTTTGAATCTCTGAACTTCTGGATTTTTGAATTTCCTAAATTTTCTGGAATTTATATTTCTAGATTTACAAAAAATTAAAAGTTTTCGATCTACTCGAAAAAATTATTTTCCCCGGCACAAATTTTTTTCTAGGATTTTTTTTGTTTTTTTTTTCTTCTTTTTTTTCACTTTTTTCCTGAATTTTCAGTATTTTTTCAATTCCTTTTTTACCTGAAAATCTGAAATTTTCAATTTTCTTCAGAATTTTTAATTTCAAAATCTCAATTGTTTTCGTCTAATACTTTGTGGAAATTCAGAATTTCAGATTTTCAAAATTTTCGATGAATTTAGTTTTTTTCAGACATTTAAAAATGACGTTTCCTCCGAATCCAGAAAATTCTTCCGATGAAATTCACAAAATCGCATTCTTACCGTCTGAAAATGATGAAAATCTGCCAGAATTTCAATCGGAAACCCCTGAAAATCTGGGTGAATGGGATTGGAGATTTCAGAGAAATCTGAAATATGTGGACGAAGATTTTGAGCTTTTCGACGATGATGGAAAAGTGATAAAATGGACGGAATTCTGCAGATTGACAGATCTGAAAAAAGGAAAATTTTTGAAGAATGAGAAGTCTCCGGAGATGTTGTATAAGAAGACGACGCCAAGAATTCCGAATATTTTGAAAAATTCGAGAAGTCAGAATGCGAAAATTCTGAATTCGAAATGCAAAACTTCGACTTCTGGGGATCGACGGGAGATTCAGAATCGGGTGAGTTTGGAAATTTTGACTTTATCGCCAAAATCACAATTTTGAAATCTCCAAAGACCCAGGGGCCCAAAGGTCCAGGGACCTAAAGACCCTGGGTCCCTGGGTCCCTGGGTCCTTGGGGGGTTGAAATTTCTGGCCATTTTGTCAAAATGTGGACAACTTTTTCCATATTTTCAGACTCCAAAAATGTATCCCGTAAGAGTTTTGGATCAGGAAAATTCGAGAAGTCAAAATCAAAATCTGGTGAGTTCATTACTATTTTTTGGGATTATTCAGACAGAATTTCAGGGATATTTTCAGCTCCAAAAAATTCATAAAATTTCCAAAAAATGGCAATTATGAGTTTTTGTATTTTCCAAATCAATTTTGGGCCATTTTCATGATTTTAAGCTATTTTACAGGCAGTTCAAGCTATTTTCAGTCATATTTTAATTTCAGAATCCGGCCGATCACATTCGGACACTTCACCAGCGAAATTCTGGAAATTCTGGGAACCTACAGTATCCTGGAAACGCCACTACGGCACATCGGACTTTGCAGAATACTCAGAATCAGAATCAGAATCGAGTGAGATTTGAAGTTTTGAAATTCGGAAATTTTGAAATGAAAGGAATTTTTGGAAATTTGAATGAATGTCAAAGTTTCTAGAAAAAATTTACCAGAAATTAAAAAAAGGGTCCTTGGGTCCTTGGATCCTTGGGTCTTTGGGTCCTTGGGTCCTTTGATCTTTGCATCCCTGGGTTCCTGGGTTTCCTTGGGTCCTGGATCATTGCAATTTTTTGTTTGAAAATTTCAAAATCTCAGAATCCATCAAACCCAGCTCCACGTCGTCAGAATCAGCAGCAGAATCTTTGGTTTCCACAAAAAACCAAGTATCCAGTGAGAGTTTTGGCTCAAGGGAATCAGGTGAGCATTTTTAGAACTTTGACGGACAGACGCCTCTAGCGTTTTATTTATAAGAAAGATTTTTTTTTAATTTTTGAATTCAAAGTTTTTGAAAATTCTAGTGATTTTAGTCATTTTCGGCTCATTTAAGCAATTTCGAAACTTCAAAAAATTTCAAAAAAATATTTTTTTTTTCAAAATTCCAATTTTCCAGCCCGACCCACCGAAATACTATTTCCCGGAGACTGGAACATCGGAAAAACTCGAAAAACCGTATTTTCGATGCACACCACTCCCCTCGCCACCAAATTCTGACGCGAAAACGAAGAAAAAAATACAGTAATCCCCGAAATTGCTCATTTTTAAATTTTTGGAATTTTTTTTCTGATTTTTACTCTAACTGAAACTTGTGATTGATTGGTTTTATTTGATTTTTGTATTTTTTCGAAAATTGATTAATAAATTACTAAATTGGGCAATTAAATATTTTTCGAAAAATTGGAAAAATCGACTTCCAGCATTTTCAGAGTCCTGGGTCCTGGGTCCTGGGTCTTAACTTCTTTTTGGTTTGAAAAAATCGATTTTCAGCATTTTCAGATTTTTTTTTTCAAAATTAAGAAAAATACATTTCATTGAAAACTAATAAACAATGGAATGAAATACAAAAAAAAATAGAAAATCAACCGTTTAAAAAAATTTAATAAAAAGTTAACAAAAATTTTCTTCTGAAATTTCAAATTAAAATTCAAAATTTAAGAAATCACTGAGAATTCGAATTTTCTCAAGTAAAATGAAAGTCTAGCCAATTTTCCGTCTACTGGCCGTCGAATGAGCTTCACATTGGGTCGTTCTTCGTTTTCAGCATTTTCAGCATTAGGGGGTCTGAAAGTTTTAGAAATGGAACTCTGAAATTCTATAATTCTAAAATTCTGGAATTTGGAAATTCGGAAATCCAGATATTCTGGAATTGGGGACCCAGGGACCCAGGGACTTAGGGACAGAAATTCTGAATTTCTGAAATTCAGAAATTTCCTAAAAATTCAAAAAACTCACTGAAACCAAAAATCCACAAAATCCTCAAAAATCGCCTCCTCATCGAAAATATCGTTTTGAATTTCAGTCGAAAAGAATTTCAGATTCTTCATTTTCAAAGCCAGCCAATTTTGGATAAATTCCCGAATGTCCCGATCCGCCAGAATGGCTACAGTAATCCTGACGTCTTCAGAATTTTCAAAATTCAAAAAATTCAAAAATTCAGGACATTCAGACGTTCCAGAAAATTCTAAAGCTAGTTTTGGATGATTCGGTTTCAAAATTTTGGAATTTTGAAAATCCGAAAAATCGAAATTCTGAATTCTCAACGTCATCTGACTCTGAATTCTTAAATCTTCTAGTAAAAATTTCAGATGCTGAAATTCAATTTTTTCAGAATTCTCGCTCATGAAAAATGAAAAATTCCAGAAATTTCTGGAAAATTTGAAAATAAAATTTTCGATTAAAATCTTAAAATCTAAATTGATTCCTAGAAAATTATAATTTTCGAATTTCAAAGTTTCATGAAAAAATTCGCAAAATAGTTCTAAAATTTCCTCGAAATTTTGATTTTCAGAAGTTTGAAAATCGTAAAAAATCAAAAAATTCGATTTATCGATTTTTCGAAATGCGATTTTTTGGTTTTTAATAGTCACAAATTTCAAGGATTTTTGGTCCAAAGTGGGCGTGGCGAAAAATTTGAAATTCAAAAATTTGGAATTTCGAAACTCTAGACTGATTTTTGTGGAGTCGCAGGGTGGATTGAGGAGTTTTAAATCAAAATTTTCAAATTTCAATTTTGAAAATTTCATGGTCCGTTGGATGGGTTTGAAGAGGAGAGACAGCTCGATCCTGAAAAAAATTGATATACTTTGAAATTTAGCCACGCCCACTTTTTACCAAAAATCTTCAAACATTCCTTAGGTTTTGAAATAAAAAACTCTAAAATTTCGATATTTCCCAAAAATCAAAATTCCAATTTTCAGCCAAATTTCAGAACTTTTTTGTGATTTTTTTTTGAAATTTTGAAATTTGAAAGTTATGATTTTCTAGGAATTCATTTAGATTTCGAAATTTTAATCGGGAGTTCCAGATGACGTTGAAAATTCAGAATTCGAATTTTTTTAAACTTCGTTGTTTGAACTTTCTGAATTTCCAGAATTTTTTAATATTTTGAATTTTTGAAAATTTCTGAAGACGTCAGGATTACTGTAGCAACTTTGGAGAATATGGATATTCCGAAATTTATACCTGGATTCCTGGACCCCTGGAAGCAAAAGTTGACCTCAGGATTACTGTAGCTAAACTGGCTCAAATATAAACAAAAATTGTTAAAAATGATTAAAAATGAACTGAAAAAACACTTTTAACCATTTAAAACTGCCTAAAATTAGCTAAATTGGCAAAAAATGAACCAAATTTCTGAAATTTTGCGCAACAATCTGAATATTCAAAATATCCCAAATTTTTCAAAAAAAAAAAAAAAATCAAAACTCCCATTTGATCCGGATCAATTTGATGTAAAATTTCACATCTAGGAATTTCAGGTAGTTGAAAAATCGGAAACTTCGATAATCTTGTCATTTTGGGAGAGTCTAAAAAAGGAAAATTGCTAAAAAATCATATAATATAGTCCAAAAATTCTGCAAGATAGACCCAAATTCGCTTGAAATGGTCACAAAATGCCCAAAAATGCCTAAAAATGCCCAAAAAAGGTTCCAAAAAATATCTGAAAATGGTCTAAAAATTACTAGAAATACATTTCAATCACCCAAACATGAGTTTTTGGGCTCAAATTTTTTGAAAATGGCCTAAAAATAGCCCTAAATATCACCAAAAATGCCAAAAGTCGAGAAAAAAGAGGCGCAGAGAATAAAAGAATTCTAAATTCGCCCAAAAAGTTATTCACAAAACGTAAAAAGGAGGTTTAAACAACCGCAATCTTGCCTCTATTATTCAAACATGGTCCTCCCTCTTTGTCTCTGCGTCTCTCAATTCTCTATACTCTCTCGCCTTCTCTATTTTCACCCGATAAGGCGGGCGGGGTGTGTGTTATCTTGTTTTGTATAATATGTATAAATGAAAATTTCCGGTTTTCTCTTTATTATTGTATTGTATTATATGATTTTGAAATTTCGGACAAATTTCTGTCAATTTAGGGCAAAATTTGATAATTTTTCGACCATTTTAAGCAATTTTTCGCAAGTGTTGGCCTATTTTTAGCCATTTCAGAGCATTTTAGAGCTCTTTTTGACAAATTTTGGATCATCTTGAGTTATTTTAGAGCATTTAAAAGGCATCTTAAAACACTTTGAAACTGTTTTGACCATTTTTGGACCACGTTGAGCCAATTATATACATTTTTTTGGCTATTTGTGACAACTTTTAGTTTAATTTGAGCTATTTTAGAACGATCTGGGGCCATTTTTGACAAATTTTAGACAATTTTCAGCCAATTTAGGTCTTTTAAAATCTTTTAAAAAGTTGATTTTTCAGTTAATTTTGCACCAATTTCAACAATCTTAAACCATTTTTGAGTTCGTTTAGCTACAGTAACCCTAATGTTACACTTTTGATAAATTTCCGAATAACTTTAACATTTTTAGCTCGTGCTTAACTCATTTCTTCCAGTTTTTAGACAATTTCAGCCAAAATTTTGAATTTGATTTCAAAATTTTGATTTTCAGATCAAATCAAAAAATGGATGGACCTGAAAAAATTCGGATTCAGAAACTACCAAAACTTGTGAGCAAGATGGTTTTTGATGAGCTGGAAATTATTGATTTGTGAGTTTTTCTGAAATTTTGGAAATTCAGAAATTCAGAAATTCAGAAATTCAGAAATTCAGAAATTCAGAAATTCAGAAATTCAGAAATTCAGAAATTCAGAAATTCAGAAATTCAGAAATTCAGAAATTCAGAAATTCAGAAATTCAGAAATTCAGAAATTCAGAAATTCAGAAATTCAGAAATTCAGAAATTCAGAAATTCAGAAATTCAGAAATTCAGAAATTCAGAAATTCAGAAATTCAGAAATTCAGAAATTCAGAAATTCAGAAATTCAGAAATTCAGAAATTCAGAAATTCAGAAATTCAGAAATTCAGAAATTCATGAATTTGAAAATTCCAAAGTTCATAAAGTCCAATTTTTCAGATTCACCCTGTCGATCCTCTCCAGGAAGATGAAGAAAATCATCTCGGAATTTAAATTCAAAATTCCCCAAATTCTATGGTATTTCGGACCGAATTGCTGTTTTTTAGAAATTTCCAAAAAACGGCATTTTTTCAATAATGGCCAATATTCTATTCAATTCGTTTTGGATTCAAAAATGGATTTTTCAAAAAATTCATGTAAAATTTATGGAAAACCGGAAATTTCAATGAATTTCGATAGAAGAGATTTTAATTTAATTTATGTGAAATTTGGAAAAAATCAATGGCGGAAATTCAAATCTTGGAAGATTTAACAAAGGAATTATTGGAGATTTTTAAGGTTGAAGAGTTCAATTTTCATTCAAAAGAGAGGAATTTTGAGGTGAGAGACTTCGAATTTTTGAATTTCTGAATTTCTGAATTTCTGAATTTCTGAATTCCTGAATTTCTGAATTTCTGAATTTCTGAATTTCTAAATTTCCGAATTTCTGAATTTCTGAGTTTCTGAATTTCTGAATTTCTGAATTTCTGAAACTATCTGGATTCCCAAAATACCTAAATTTTCTATTTTTCAGAATTTCGACTTCCTCCAAAACATCCCTCTCCGTCTTCACACTGTCACTCTCTCAAAAATCGATATCTCCATTGAAGCCGCCAAATTTCTTCTAGAAAGTTTCAATTTGGATTTTTTCAACCTCGAAAACTCCATGGTCCATGCTCCAAATGGTCCCCAAAATCTCAATTTAAATTGTCGAAAATTGAAATTCGAAAATCCAAATTTCCTGACTTTTGACTCGATTTTGGCGTACCCAAAGGTCCAGGAATTGGAATCAGATAAAATTTTTCAAAATTTGGAAATTCAAGATTTTTGTATTTTTATCAAATTATGGATCGATGGAGCCAGAGAGAAACCTAATTTTACGATTCGATTGGATTTTGAGAATCAAAGAGAGAAAAATCGGAAAAAATTCCGAAAAGGAATAATGGATAAATTGAGGGAATTGGGAATTGTTAGGTGAGTGGAAAAAAAATTTTCGAAAAAAAAAAGCCCAAAGATGGTCAATTTTAGACCATTTTTGAGCTAGTTTAGTTAGCTATTGTTTCGATAACTCAAACAGAAAACAAGATGACTAGGTTCAAAGGAACAATCTTTTTAAGGAAATTCACAGATTTCAAAAGTAAAAATTCAAGTTTATTTAAACATGATGAATGAAATTATTTTAAAAAATGCTTTGAGAGAAATTTAAAATTCTAGACAAAAACGATAACGTGAATTGGTTTAGAAACCATTGACCTCTGGGAAAGTAATATAAAAGAATAGGGAAATGAAAGGAAGAATCAGTTCTCACCTTCTCTGGCCTCCAGAGAAGGTGACCCGGGAGTCCTGGGTCCTGGGCCCTGGGTCCTAGGTCTGGGTCCTGGATCCGGGTGACCTGGGTCCGGGTGACCCTGACCGGGTGACCTAGATCCGGGTGACCTGGATCCGCGTGACCTGGGTACGGGTGACCTGGATCCGCGTGACCTGGATACGGGTGACCTGGATCCGGGTGACCTGGATACGTGTGACCTGGTTCAGGGGGACCTGGATCCGGGTGACCTGGTTCAGGGGGACCTGGTTCCGGGTGACCTGGATCCGGGAAACCCTGACCGGATGACCTGGATCCGGATGACCTTGTCCGGGTGATCTGAATCCGGATAACGTTGATACGGGTGACCTGGATTCGGGTGAGCTGGGTCCAGTTCACCCGGTCAGAGAACTTTTTGGAACCTCTGAATTTCCAGAATTTTTGAATTTTGAAAATTCTGAAGACGTCAGGATTACTGTAGCGATTTTAGAGAAACGGGATATTTAGAAATGTATCAAAAAAAATGAATTATTTTAGTTTTCTTTTTCAGAGCCACCAAAGAGCAATTATCTTCTGGAACACTATTCAGAATCTACCGTGCTGATGGAAAGTCTGCGTCTCTTCAAATCGGACGCTATTTTTATTTCAACGCAAGTGAAGAGGAAGAAGAAGAAGAAGAAGAAGATTCCGACGATTCTGATGATTCCGACGATGATGAGGATATCGAAAAAATCGATTTGAAAAAGTCCTATAAAGATCAAAGAGGCGATAATTTTGGAGATTTAACAGAGGAAGATGTGTCCAGTGACAGTAGTGGATGGTAGAGGAGAGGATTACTGTAGTTTTGAATTTTTTGAAATTCTGGTTTTCTGAATTTCGCAATTTCTGAATTTGGGAATTTTTCGACGTTTTGAACTCTTGAATTTTTGATTTTCTGCATTTTTTGGGCTTTTTGTGGAGGATTACTGTATTTTTATATGGAAATGTTTGGGTTTTGGGTGTTTGTAATGATTGCAATTGTTATTGAATAAAGTTTTTTTTTGGTTTTTCCTTCAAATTTTCAAATTTCAGGATTTTGAATGTCCGTGAATTTCGTTTTCAGGATCTTTGATTTTTTTCAAATTTCAAAATTCTGAAGCTCAAAATTTTGAAATTTGATTTTGATATAATGTTTTTGAGTTTCTGAAAGTTAGAGTTTCCGAAAATTCCAAACATTTTTGAATCTCTATGATTTTCGAAACTAAACTCTTCGCTTTTCATTATTTCCAGATTTACGATTTTCCAGAAATTTCCACATTCTTATTTTCTGATTTTTTTCAAATTTCTTATCTTGATTTTTCAATTTTCCGCTTGGGTTTCACAATTCTAACAAACAAGAAAATAAATATTGGTCATAAAATTGTTTGTGCTGATAATGATTCTGAAATTTTCCGTCATTCCCCTCCTCATTCCCTTCCGGCTACCCCTAAAAATATTCCAGAAAGCATCCAACCACCAAAAATAACCCAAAAACCTAATAAAACACTTTTCAGGAGTCCAAATTGAAAAAGGCAAAAAATAATAGCAAATTTCAGTTCCTCCACAATGTCTTTTCTATTCGCTTATTCCAATGATTTATCGATTGACCAGGTTTTGATCTCTTGGCAAAATTTTGCATACGGTCATTATTGAATAATCGATTCGCACAATTTGCAAATGTTCGATTTGATTTAAGGCATGAAGATCTAATCGAATTTCATCAGGATCGTGAGTGAGTCAAAAAAAATTAGAAAAAAATATCGATAATTGATTTTCTAGAGCTGTCAACGCTTCAATATTTTCTCATCTTCCCATCTCTTGGTTATACTGATGCAATTACTGGAAATGATGTTATCCGAACGATTGATGTGATTAGATTTTTTGATTTCGAAACCTGAAGCTTTAAAGCTTAAAGGAGGCCAGACATGAAAAATTTCAAAGTTCTAGTTTTTTGATATATGACACAGTACAGTCAGAAAATATGTATGGCCATGCAACCATAACTCCATTTTGCCGTACAAGCGAGGACGCGAACGTTCTTCCAAGCATCACTAACCAGTGTGCCTTATCGACAAATGATTTGTCGACAAACGCCCTTTACGGCAAATTTATCGACAAATTTATCGGTAAATTTATCGAAAAATTACCGACAAATTGTCGATAAAAATGCTCTTACCCATGCAAAATTTATAGGCCATCTGGCTTGATGACCTAACTTTTCCAAAACGAATTTTTTAGGCCACATCTTTTTTTTTGCCTTAGAAATGATCTGATGTTCACCTGGTTTGTTTATTTAGGTCATTTTAACATGGTGGCCTAACTTTCGCAAGTTGACTTTTCTAGGCCACCATGTAAACATGACCTAGAAAACAAACTAGATGGATATCTGACCATTTCTAGGCCAAAAAGGTTGGGGCCTAGAAAACTCATATTGCAAAAGTTAGGCCACCATGTGAAAATGGCTTAAAAACGCACCATGTTAACATCAGATCATTTTCAGGTCAAAAAGTTTGGTGGCCTAGAAAATTCATGTTGGGAAAATTATCGAAATATTGTCAACTGATAAAATAGTTATCACATTATCAGCAATATTTTCTCTGTTGAAAGTTTTTTCATATCTCTCATAGTAACCGAGATAATTAAGCTCCAAGCGCAGCGGATGCAACCGTGTATCATCCGGTAGCTTGAACTCACGGGGGCAAAATCGGGCACATGGATTTGAATCGAGCTTTCGCGCTTTTTTTCAGTGCCGCGCGGCGCGTGTATGAATGTCAGTTTTCAGTATCATCCTCGCAGTTCAATTAACGTTACGTGAGTCGCTACTCAGCGAATTTCAGCCGCGACGCGACTGAAAAAAAAACGCGAAATCTCGATTCAAATTCATGTACCCGATTTTACCCCGTGTGATTTCGAGCTCAACTATCTCCGTTTCTTTAAGAGATATCAGAAAACTGTTGACTGATCGAGTATAGTTGATATTATGATAAACAAAATATTCGTTCCAAAAATTTTCATATCTTCCCCCGAGACACCTAGACAACTGAGCTCAAAGTGAGCAGGTTTCAACAATTTTCTTTTTTCTCATTTCAGTGATTCCAAAACTATTTCTTTTGCTCCCTGGATAATATGTTAGGAGTCACTCGCACAGATATCGATTTTCAGTATTCAGACAACCGGAAACAAACTTTGCAGATTCGCGTTTATGGGAAATAGTAAGCATGTTTTTAGAGGAAAAGATTAAAGTAAACTGTTTCCGTATGACAATTGACTTTTTGTAACTTTTTCGTGGAATAAATCATTATCATTCATCTAAGGGTGTATTTTCAGGAAAAATCGAAGATACATGTTTTTTTTTAAATGAAACCGACACTACAAACTTTACAGACATTTCCGTCGAAAAAACGAATTTCTAGCTGCTCTGGGAGACGAGATACTTCAATTTGAAGTTTTTGAATCAAGAGAGTGAGGAGG